CCATTAAATAATTAATTGATAGAAATTTGGATGTTCCAAGCCGTATTTAGTAGCATGCTCAATAATCATGCGCAGAAAGTACATTTGAAGGAAATGAACAAAGGATTAAAAAATCTGTAAACGGTAAATGGTATTCTCGACTGACCTTTGCATTTTTTAGTCAGCAATTAAATTATTCAATCGGATGTAAAACTAGTATAAATTCAGGTTATGACCCTTGAAAAACGAAAATTACCTTCAAAAATATACACATAATTTCAAACAAGATACCAGCAAAACTTGGAAAAAAAAGGCAGGGTTTTCAAATAATTATTTAGCAGATTTACAACCAAGATTGAGCTTGTAGGATTTGGTGCCTTCAATTTTTCAATGCATGATTGAATAATCTAATTGATGTTAAAATGGTTCACATGACCAAAAAAACAAAAAAAAAATTTGGAAACAAATTTGAAACTTGCGACTTTTTAATAAAACTCCAATTTTTCATGAAATCACTTACTTAAGACTCATCTCCCATGTGAAAGTTTTGATTTGATCATTTAAGCTGTTACTTTCAATTACATAAAACAGTAAAAACTAACTTATTAAACAGGCACAAGAAAATGACAAACCTTTTTTCTTGGAAGGATAATCGCTTTACTTTAATTTCCAAGAGCATATTGTGGAAATTAATATGAGTATCCAATTTTGAATAAAACGCAGAAATATTTTTTACTTTAAGTCAGAGAGTTTCAAGGATCCAATCGCAAATAAATTGACCAGAGAAACTGTGATTTTTCAAAACTACACCCTTCAAATTTTTAAAGACTCAACACTGCATAGGTAAAATTTTGAGAATCTATCATGGCATGCGCTAAAAGTAAGCTTTAATATGTTGATATTTTTGTCTGCAAAAGCCTACAAGTTAGATAAAAGTGAAATTCATGATTGATTTGATTTCTTCATCAATGAAATAACCCTTCAGAGGACATTTCAGTATTTGCTATGTCAATTCAGTCTTTTTTGAACATTTCAGGGATGATGACCGTGGTTTCAACATAAGGTTGCTAAAAGTCCTCAATCCTGCAAGCCGCAGAAAAACAAACATGAGATAAATATTACCAATGTTCATCATGAACTTTCGTTTTTTAAAAATATTCATGACTTACGTTCGTTCCAATCATCTCACTTTTGACTTGATGAGAAATTATTAGTTGGTGTCCGATTTTGTTGTGAAATAGTTCACATTCAAATAATAAAATCATCGCTAAGGAAAAGTTCCGTAAAATTTTGCTCTAGCAGGGCAAAATGAAGAGAACACTATAACCTCAAAGACTACATCGTTCAAAGTTGGAAGAGAGAAAGAATGGAATTATCAAAGCACCGCAAGTTTCAAACAAAGATAAAAACAAGAAAAAAATTAAAGATAAAAAAAAATAAATTAATCAGACAAAAATTTCTGTTGGAAAATTGAAAATGTTTAAAAAATTGAGTGATTTTGCTTCGGAGTAGTTAACCGTTGTCACGTTCAAAATGCCAGACTTATCCACTCATAACCTAGAAGTGTTTGGTTTTCTTTAAGAGGGGGAGGAAAGGAAGTCATTCAGAGTATTTACTTGACTTTCCTTTTGAGATGGAGGTAAAACAGGTAGGACTTCATCTTCTACTTAAAATGAAAAAAAATGTTGTGAGTACTTGGAAAAGGGTAAGTGCAATAATGGGTGGAATTGAAAAATGATGAGTCATCAAAGATGCAAAGGCCTGAATAGGTCTTGGAAAAGTAAAAAAAAAATGTACAATAAATTAATATTTACAACGATAAAAAGACTCGAATATCTTATCATGAGACTAGGGAGAAACACTGAATACTTTACAGTCTATTTTAATAACTTCAAAAGTCATAAAAAAACTTTTTGCGAAACCAAAAGGTAACACTGACCTTAGAAAAAGATTTAAAGGCATGAGTAAATCAATTTTTGAGATGAAAAGGAAACAATTTTTGAGGCCGAAGGTTCTGAAACCATGCATATTCAATCCAGGGTTTCTGAGAAGTGTTGGAAACTTCCAAGTTTTTAGGATTATAAAAGGTTCGAGTAACTTGAACTTTGTGAAACAAAAAAACAAAAGGAAAAGAAAATATCGTAACAAAGATGCAAAGTTACTGGATTTTAATGCTAGGCAAAGTTTCAAAAATTTTCCACTGACTCTAAAATATTTAAGCTAACGTCAGCGTAGTGCGGAAACCTGAGCGAGTGAACAGAGCCACCGACAGCCTCTCGAGCTGTCGCAGCATAAACAAACAAATTGATATCCTACCTACAAATATGACAATGATAAGTATTTAATAATTAAAACACGTTAAGTTAGGAACAAGTCTAGAAGCACGACTCCGTATTTACTGACCACTTTGAAATAATTTTCTTCCAATATTAAAAAAAGAAACTAAAATTACAGCCGCGATGACAAGTGTGGGCGACACCCATCACGTACTTAAGTAAGAAAGAGGACAGCACAGAGGCATGTGTTTTCACAATCACCGAACAAAAATTATGCTACAAGCAGTCAAAAAGAAATAGGCCCATCTTCACTTACAACACATTTCCTGATTTGATAATGGAAAAAAATAAGCACTCATCCAAAAGAATGTTAATTTTACGGTGTAAAAAAGGATTTCAACAAATGAAACCCTGAGTGAAATCTCTTCAAATCAAATATAAACAGAAATACGACAAGAATGAACAAATGCGTAGAAAATGGGGGAACAGTTTTCAAAATTTGTCATTTTCTTTCAGTTTCTTTGGGTCAAACATGATTACACCTTCATCATGCGCAATAATCTCTATACTATCTATGAATTTTGACGAAAAATTATTTATTTTGATGGGAAGAGTTTCTACAGGAAATAGACTCGATTTTAGACAAAATAATCATTGAAAGAAGAAGTTATCACTGTTGATTCGACTATTTTTTTTTAAATTTTGATGACCACATTTGCTAGAATAGTTTAGAAACATTGAGAAATTTTTCATGTGATTCGTAGTTCAAATGCCTTGATTCCTTTTTGACCAGTCGCATAATTATTCTTTCAAGGAGAGCTCAGACAGGAGAAACATACAACTTGGCACAATATTGATAAAATAATTGAACTTTCAATCGTTGTCATAGAGGGGAATTTCTTGCAAATGTGTAAGATGCAAAAAAAAAAAAAAAAAAAAAAAAAAAAAAAAAAAAAAAATTAAAATAATGGATAGGTCTAAAATGCACCTCTGTAGTATTAGATGAAAAACTAGTACAGAGCAAAACAAAGCTATCAACATTTCCGCTTTGACTCATATTAATAGAAAAGTACACATTAAGAGGGCCAAAAATGAGATAACAGTATCTTACTTGAAGTATCCTAAATGAACATGTTACTAGCCAATTCACGTACGAACTACTTTTACAAATTTGAAAAACAGGAGACAAACCTGTTTAGATGATCTTAAGATTTTGGAAACGTTTGATTTTTTCGGAAGGAATGTACATTCTTCATACCTATTGTTAAGATTATATGACGATCAGATGAGACTCTTCTAATCACTTTTTTTTCAAAGTTGTGAAAAAGTGCCTGGCATAAATTAGAAAATAACACGTTGGTACAATTAAGAAACAATGAATTGACTCAGAAACCTATTATGGCCCAGTAGTTAGCTGGCCAGCTCCAAAGGAAAAATTGATTTAACAAGGGAACAACGATTGACGTCGACGTTGCAATTAGCTGAAAAAATGTTTCTCTGTATACTTGAGTGCCTGTATACAGGAGAGTATTGCAATCTCAATTGTTCTAATTCAGAAAAAGTGTGCTGCTCTCTGATTGGTCGGCTATCATGGATATCACGGAGCCCCAAATTTGGACCATTGTAAACAAACCCCAGCCCCTCCGCTCCTAGTTTGGCTCAATGTAAACAAATAAGATGGCGACAAAGTTCCACAAAGTTCTATACGTGATTTTGGATGTGACAGACATTTTTCAATGATCAACTTCTGAATGGGCCTGTTGCAAACTTTTGCTAGAGCAAAAATAAGAGTTGTTTCTTATAGATAATGCCTCAAAAATCACGATGAGCGCATCGGCAAACTCTGAAATGCACTCATAACTTCACAAACTGCGTAAGAAATTTGCGGTTTTTTGAGCTTCCCGCTTCAAAAATGATACTACGGCACAGGTGAACATTTTGTAAGAGGAGTCGTTCCATCGTCGGCAATAATCATCATAGCCGACGCCAATCCGCCAAAACACGTTTGATGGGACGAGATAACACCTGAACTGGATTAGACCAGATAACAATCGGTGTGTTAACGTTCATATTTTCCACGCCCGAATTGATTGACCTTGAACTCTCCTTGAATTACGCGCGGAACTGCGTGCAAGCGTCGGCTATGATGAATATCGCCGACGATGGAGCGACTCCTCTAACAAAATGTTCACCTATGCCGTAGTATCGTTTTTGAAGCGGGAAGCTTAAAAAAACGCAAATTTCTTACGCAGATTGTGAAGTTATGAGTGCATTTCAGACTTTGCCGATGCGCTCATCGTGATTTTTGAGGCATTATCTACAAGAAACAACTCTTATTTTTGCTCTAGCAAAAGTTTGCAACAGGCCCATTGAGTTCGGATCGACCTTTCATGGTTATTTTTGCCGGAAATTAACCTTTGAGTGTGACTATCATTCATTTCTCAGCCGATAATACGTATTCCTCGGGGTCGGGTTGGTTTACATTGGTCCAACTTTGGAGCTCCATGATAACCTAAAACTGATGGACCAATCAGAGAGCGGCACAGAGATGGCAATACTCACTCGTATACGGGCACTCTACTATATACAACCTTGAAAGATGTTCGGTTCTTCGACAACCTACATTCAACGCTGAGAGACTTGGTGTCTGGGGAACAGTTGAGCGGGTCCAAAGCTGTCTCGATTCTGGACGAACAGTAGGACACTGCTCGACCCCTACGTCAGGACTGCAAGTTTGAGATTTCGTTGGTACTGCGAGAAATCGGACAGTGCCTCAGGCTGGGCAGTTGCAGTTGGTATCGGCCGGTGCGGCTACACTTGGAGCAGAGGTTTGAGCTCTTTGTTGACTATGTAGAACTTGTGTTTCTTGCCAAAGAGACCCCAGATCACAGCTACGTTCTCAATGATTATGTTCACTGGTACCGTACACAGCGCACCCAGGATGCATAGGGTAAACCTAACCAGGCCGAACCTGAAAAATTCAAAACAAATTTGTTATACATACATGTAAAGCCGCTTTTATAGCGCGCTCTTACGCTCTGCGACACCCAACCGCCTAAGTCCCTCATCCTCCCAAAGCCCTTCAGGGAGTTGGCACACCCTCATTTCTTCTAAAACCCCCTGTCGCCACCCTTTCACTGGGCGTCCCCTTCGTCTCCTCCCAGGAGAAACCCAATCAAGCATCTTCTTCGGCAGCCTTTCGTCCGTCACTCAATTCACATGACCGGACAAGCTGTCTGGTCATGACGCCGAACACGAAAAATAAAATGCGTTATCAATCTCAAAAAATAATTGCATTCCTTGCCTGAATAATTCCGAAAATGATATTCCGGGTTCCGTTAGAAATTTAGTGTTTTGAAGATCATTGCCAATCAACATGATAATCCTCGAGGTTGTTTTTTTTTTTTTTTTTTTTTTTTTTTTTTTTTTTTTTTGGTCCTTAAGATATGTTTCGTAACACATAATTATTTTCGTTGCCATTTCAAATTTTACTGAAGTTTTCTCCTCATAATTTTGAAAGAGGTGAGATTATTCATTTTGCAAGGCTGCATAGTGCATACCTACATTTGGACGGAATTCATCGGAGAGGAACCAAGTCTCATTTTGAAAAAAAGAAAACGAAAAAAGGGCATGAGCTTAAATTCCTGCAAAAAATTCAAGAACGAAAACACATATACTTAAATCGATAGGCAACTGATTGAGGCTAAAATTTCCTTTTTTTTTTTTTTTTTGAACATTTCTTTTTTATTTTACTTATTAATGAAATTTTTAAACCAATTTAAAAAAAAAAAATAAAAGGAAAAAATAAATAAAAATGGAGATCTGCAATATTACATTGGCGAGCTTCTCCCGAGAGTATGTCGCTCCTTTCCATTGTTGCCAGTTTATGCTGAAAAATCAGCAGTTCTCTCCATTTTAACCCATGCAGAGAATCCACATTTAATGGCATAACCTGGCAACCTTGCTCCTTTCAAACTGACTAATGGTTACTTCGGAATGACTTACAAATCTCCCTCCACAAGAAGATCCAAGAGTCAGGAGAGGGAGAAGAGAATATACAGAGAAAAGGAAAGAAGGGAAAGAAAAAGAAGAAGAAAAAATGTCTTCTCCTTCCGATGTTTAGTTTGTACATAATATGGGGTTCCTAGGATCTGAGTGCAAGGTATCTACTAAAACAGGCTGGCCAAAATCAGTACAATCACGGTACTTTTTCAAAGCATATTCCCAAGAAATTCAGTGCCTTCTCAGCGGGAAAATGCAGTACTTTATCAGTACCTCCAATAGACGAAATTCTAAAAATTTGAATTTCTTGCTCAAATGGAGAATTTGCATGCGCATTTTTTATTGCTTCATCTGAAGTTGCTTAAAGAGCTGATTTCACAGTATTTTTTATAATTTTTTTCTGATATGGGAAATAGTATAAAAATAGATTTAAAAGTGAGGAAATGCACCACCCAGAGACGTCATCTGGCGGCAATTCCCATTTAAAGACACGTATTTTAGCAGATTAGATCATTTTTTCATATCTTCTCCAATAATTGTTCAATTCATAAACCAAGGGTATCTTCGTGGTCCGTTCACTCGGTAGTTTCCACTTAAACACGAAATTCATGAAATTTCAGACGCCTGCAAGTAGAGATGTTGCATGTGTGAGGAATTTGCGATTTGACTATTGATTCTTATGTAAAAGTTCGCGAGAAACACGATGGTGCCACTGGTTTTCTCTGAAATCAACTCTCAAGCTCAAAAAAGTTCTCAAATTGAGGCCAAAATGGAGGGGATATCACACACTATCCTGAGAGTCCACGTCTAAGTATATCAAGACAAACTCTCCATGCAAAAATAGGGAGCAAATACATTAGCAGGGTTGCCGTGTTTGCAGTTTTAGAGTCCCCAAATAAAATGGCAGCCCTTATTTCAATGTATTTGCACCCTATCTTTGCATGGAGAGTTTGTCTTGATGTGGACTCTCAGGATAGCGTGGGATATCCCCTCCATTTTGGCCTCAACTTGAGAGCTTCTTTGAGCTTGGGAGTTGATTTCAGAGAAATCTTGTGTCTAGCGAACTTTTACATAAGAATCAATGGTCAAATTGCAAAATCCTCACACATGCAACATCTCCATTCCCTATTGCGACAAAAATGAAAAAATCCGGAATGGGCCTGTTGCAAACTTTTGCTAGAGCAAAAATAAGAGTTGTTTCTTATAGATAATGCCTAAAAAATCACGATGAGCGCATCGACAAAGTCTGAAATGCACTCATAACTTCACAATCTGCGTAAGAAATTTGCGTTTTTTTAAGCTTCCCGCTTCAAAAACGATACTACGGCACAGGTGAACATTTTGTTAGAGGAGTCGCTCCATCGTCGGCGATATTCATCATGGCCGACACTTGCGCGCAGTTTTGCGCGTAATTCGAGGAGAGTTCAAGGTCAATCAATGCGGGCGTGGAAAACATGAACGTTAACACACCGATTGTTATCTGGTCTAATCCAGTTCAGGTATTATCTCGTCCCATCACACGTGTTTTGGCGGATTGGCGTCGGCCATGATGAGTATTGCCGACGATGGAACGACTCCTCTTACAAAATGTTTACCTGTGCCGTAGTATCGCTTTTGAAGCGGGAAGCTCAAAAAACCGCAAATTTCTTACGCAGACTGTGAAGTTATGAGTGCATTTCAGACTTTGCCGATGCGCTCATCGTGATTTTTGAGGCATTATCTATAAGAAACAACTCTTATTTTTGCTCTAGCAAAAGTTTGCAACAGGCCCGTTGCGCAATTTTCGAACTTTTTCAGTACTTCCAGACCGGCCTTGAAGAATGAGTACTGTTTCCGAACTTTCAGGACTTTCCGAACGTGCAGACACCCTGGAAAAGCCGCAAAAGCGGGGAAATGACATAGTTCTAGTGAGTCTGGAAACTGATGGGGAGGTTGGGCTCACCTGTAGAGGGAGAAGGACTTGACGACGCCGAAGACGTACATGTAGATGTTGACGGCCCCGATGAAGGCGCAGGCGAAGTCCATGAGCGGGGGGCAGGGGATGGGGCAGATGGCGGCGAGGACGATGTTGGAGGTGGAGAGGGGCATGGTGACCCAGGAGTAGCAGCTGATGCCGAGGAGGAGCTTGTTCCGCCACGGGATCGTCGGCGAGTGGACGACCAGGAGGATCCCCTGGAGCCAGCGCTTCCGCTGCTGCACGAAGTCCCACAGGGAGAACGGGCTCTTCTCCCACATCTCCCCCTCGACGAAGTCGAAGGAGAAGCCCTCCTTGTAGGCCCGCATCGCGAAGAAGCAGTCCTCCGCCACCGAGCCGTCCAGCCCGTTGTCGAACGAGACCGCCTTCTCCGCCCCCAGCTGAAACAACACCCAAAATACACACTTCAGTCCATGAACAATACCTAATACACAAATGCATTCCTATTTTCTCGATATATCGCACTGGAAAAGAGATATCTCGGGAAAACCGCTGAAAAACGTGATTTTTCGCGGTTTTTCCGATTTTCCGGAGTTAGCACAAGGAAAATTTGTTGGGAAACCAAAAATTCGGATTCAGCGTAAAAAATTACATAGAAATCAATCATAACCTGATTTCACCTAAATTTTCCAAGGTAAAATCCTTCATTGCCTGGACTAGGGCCCCGCGGGCTCATTCTTGAAATTGATAGACAAAACGATAGTCAAACAAGCCATAGAGAGTATAAAGCCATCCAGCGGGCTGATTGTTGAAATTGATAGATAAAGCGATAGACAAACAAGATGTAGAGAGTGCGGAGCGATCCTGTTGGTTGAAGTGGATGGTTGTTATAGACTAAACGGAAAATGAACGACTTAACTACAGGGTCTCTCGTGGATTGCCCTTACCTAGTCTAAATCATAGCAGCCATGTTCAATGTTTCATTCATTCGTGAATTGAGAGTAAAAAATTTACACCCCGAAAATCCTTCGATTTGCCGTAAAAAATCGCAGAAACTCAATATATCAAGTCGATATACTTACTCGTTGACTTTACAGATGAGTGCAAATACGAGTATTGAAAATCAATATGATTTAGTCATTTGGGGGTGCATCTACTTTTTCGTGAATCAATAATAACTAATTTCAACCCCAAGACACGATCGATTTTCCGTATAAAATCGAAAAAATCGACGTAACAAATTGTAATATGTCGACGCCTTGACAAGAAAATTCAATTCTACGTGTAAAAATACTTATGTATTGATATGTTGAAATGGAAACATCCGTGAACAACGATTAAAAGTCCTCGACAGCATCAATTTAACATGAAAACGGCAAAAATTAGATGGGATTTTAGCCTCTTTGACCTCAATAAATTCAGTTTAACCCCCGCAAAAATTCATTTTATTGAAAAAGAGGAAGGCCTAACAATTTCTGCACCCCTGTTCTGGGGATAATACCATTTCCTTTGGCTTTTCAAGGTTTGCATGAGTGCGTTATTGAAGATACGGAGACGAATCGGACGTGCTAGGCTAGATGCATTCACTGGCAATGAAGGCGTTTCGAGCTGACAGAAACATAGCATCTTCTTTCACGTCGATGATATACTGATCTCTCTCTTGATAGTATGAACTTAACGCTGTTTTGTGAAAGTCTGACGTTAATTTTAGCGCAATTATTATCATTGCAGCTATCTCGTACTGTCATATTTTGAAAAGAGGCGAATTCAACTGATTTAGTGGAATCTTTGGGTTCGTTTAAATCAGACGAGGTACTTACACTCAGAATAAAACTTTAGTCGCTCTATTTTGAGCACCTATCTGCACTGGGACGCGTGCTGCTTCTAAAATAAGCTAGAAATATTGATTCTGAATAATTAACATTGTAGTCCAAATCGAGTCTGCCCACCAAAAATCAGGTTACATTAGAGATTCGGTTAACTCGAGCTACTAGTCGACCTACTCGACGTGTCCTCAGATACGAATCGAATATTATTTTCAACCATCCACCGATCAGCGGCCTGGTTATCGAAATTCATAGAAAAAGCGATATACGCAAAAGACAGAGAGGAAATGGGGCGATCCTATTGGTGGAAGTGGGTGGTTGCAACGGACAAAATGAGATAAGTAAAAGACTAACTAACGGCAATCCACGGGAGACCCTAATAAATAATTTTCCCCCTTAGTCTATAACAACCACTCGCTTCAAAAAACAGGATCACTCAATTTCCTCTCGGTTTCTTTTGTCTATCGCCTTATCTATAGATTTAAATGATCAGCCCGCAGGTGTATATTCGCTATCGGAGGCAACGCCACCATTCACTGGAAAAAAAAAAGAAAAAAAAACACATTGGATCTAGCGTCCAGACTCTTGAAAACATTGACAAGAAAAAGGCCTCTTGATTCAATCAGATTTGAGCTTAAATCAAACGGAAATCCGCTCAAATTAAGTGGCTGGGTTCTTGATTTAAGCTAAAATCTGATTGAATCAAGAGTATTGTTTCTTGTCGATGTTTTTAAGAGTCTGGACTCTAAATCCAATGTTTTTTTTCCAGTGTTTATCGGGATATTTTAATTTGTGCTTTGTCTACTGGTCCATCGCAAATTTGGGAAAAGTCATTCTCAGTGCCGAACAGCTCTACCTCTACGCACGTACACTTAAGGGAAGAACACAACTTGGAACTAAGAAGAAAGGGTGGGGAGAGGGGGGCTGGATTGTGATCGTACGTCAGATGCTCACAAGTGCGGCAGAGAGTCAAGTCATCGCACGTATTATTATCTTAACTAGAGTATATTAATGTATCATAAATATTTATTTATTTATTAAGAGAGCCAGAGAGTGTGTGTCCAGTGTTGGTATTCTCAATCATATCGAATCGGATCCTACCGACGCTACCGTCATAGCCAAGAGAGCAGTAAGGGCCAAAATGAAGTTCTGAGAAAACGGGCTCACAAGCATCTGACCACGGAAAAAAAAGTGTTAGGGGTTTTCCGCTAAAATTGTGGTACTACCCCAATTTGTTTGATGATACGGACATTTCTAATTAATTGTATTAGTACCGCAACTCTAGTTAGGGCAGTACCGCAACATTTAGGTTAGTTACCTAATTTATTGGGGTACTACCATAATTAATTGGGGTGCTACCATGATTAATTGGGGTACTACCACAATTTATTGGAAAAGTTCATAACATCCAACAACTTCCTGTTTTTTTTCCGTGATCGGAAACTTTTACTGAAAGGATAACCTCCGTTCTTTGTCAAATTTCCACTAATCGTCCGAAAGACTCACAGAAATAGTTTGGATGATTAAACATCGACCGATTTTATTTCAATTACGTAAAACGGGTATTTTTCATTTTCATGCTCGGCTATTGTTAGACAATACAGCCGTAAGTGCTATCTGCTGTATAATCTCGTGGTTGCGTGTTGGACACACAAAAAACACATTTTCAGGTTAGAAATTGGCAGAAGAGGGCGGCACTTTACTTGAAAGCACTGATTTCATTGGCTTTCCAGAGGAATAATGTCACTTACTGCTGTCTTGCTTGAAACCACACGTCACTTTTTGTGCACTTGTCTCGTTTTCATAAAAATAAGATGAATTTTGCTGTTTTAGCTATTTCAGTGATTCATCTAAAAGAGATTAGACGAATTTTAAAGGAAACTGGATTGCGAAAATTTGACACTTCCTGCTCTCTTGGCTATCACGGCAGTGCACAGGCACAATATTTCCTTACACGCTAGCGATAGGACAGGGTTGCCACAGAATTTAGAAAATGAAATTCCCTGACATTTCCCTGACGCATTTCGGTGAAACTCCCTGACGATTGAAGAAATACCAGAGAGTTAAAATGACATAATTAGAAATAGGTTTACGGCATTTATCGTTCGAAACGTCAAACGCATTCTAAATATCAAATAAAAGTACTCGCTAATTTTTCCTGACAATTTCGTCATTTTCCCTGACTTTTTAAAATTCCCTGACATTTCCCGGTTTCCCGGTATTCTCTGACTGTGGCAACCCTGATGAGAATAAATCGATATATATATCGTTTCAACGCCGTGACGTAACACTAGTACCGCCGTGATAGCGAAGCGATCGGTAAGTGGATTTCTGTATGAACCATGGTTAGCACATGCTTTTATACGTCTCGAGGTTCATCCCAGCATGCACTTGCTGCTCTCTTCGCTACCACGGCAGAGAAGCGTCCATCTCGGATGCCGATCAACTGGCCGACCACGTCAGACGTCGGTGGCGAT